TCATCAAATAAAGTCTATGGAATTGTATCATATGTTGCACCCGAACTACTTAGAGGCAAAATTAATACAAAGAACACAAAGGAATCAGATATCTATAGTGTTGGGATGTTAATGTGGGAAATATTTGCAGGCCATCCACCATTTGATGATAGAGCTCACAACCATTGTTTGATTTTTGATATATGTGAGGAAGGTTTACGACCACCAATATTACCTGAAATGCCTGATGATTATGCAGAAATGATGCAGAGGTGTTGGGATATGGATCCATCAAAAAGACCAACTAGTGGAGAGCTGTTTGATTTTGCTATGGATAAATATAACGGAATTATTAAAAATAAAAGTTTGAAAAGTGATAATAACAATAATAATAGTTTAATAAAAAGATTATTCAAATTTTCAAAAATCAAAAAACAAGAAATTGATTTTAATAATAATGGTAGCAGCAGCAACGGTAGTGGTAGTAGTGCTTCGCAACAACCACACAAATCACATCCAGATGCATATCATAAAAGTAGAATATTAGATGAAGAGATTGCTAAATCTAAAAGTTTAAAAAGTTATACAAGCAATGATAGTTCGTTAAATAATCTTGATTTTAACTCTTTTCTCTAGAATGTTAACAAAGGTGAATAAAATTTCATTGAAAATTACCATCCATTAATTATTACTAACAATGTTAATTAATTATAGACATTAAATTCTGTAACAATAGTAAAAGAAAAGATGCGATGGATAATTTATTATCATCATTTTAGTTATATTTTTATTTATCTTTTTATTTTATCCTTATTTTGTTTCTTAAAGCTAAATTATAACAATATTTCTTATAATAAACTTTTTACAGTTTTTTTGATTCTTGTTAAATGGTGGCATTACAAGTAGTTGGTCGCCAAAACTATTTGAAGAGGCGAAAGTCAAAACTAAATCAAAAGTCAAAACTAATTTCGACTTGTGGTAAAACCTTTAGAGTTGCGAAACTCTAGTTTTGGAAACCAACACTAATTTCAAGTATCATTATGGCTTAACTTTTGGTCTACTCTTTTCAGTTAATTTACAATAATTCTGTGCTTGTCAACTAATTAGTTTACAAATTTACTTAATAACTGTAATAAATAAAAAAGGCCCTTTTGTAAAATCTAAATTAAAATGAATATAATGGTATTGATGACCAAATTGAGGTATCTGGCAGCTGAAAAAATTCATCCGATACCTCAATAATATTTTATTTAATAGTATTATCTATAGACAATTATAAGTAAAGATTTTATCTTATATTTGCCCGATACCTTAAAGAATTGATATCCTAATACTCCGCCTACATACGAACTAATCTGCAAAAAATCAGTGAGGTATTGGGATTAAATTTATTAACTCAGAATTGCTTTTTTCACAACATGGTCCGTTTCTATATCATTGTAAAAATTTAGAAATTTTTAACCCCATTTTTGAGAATACGTCACCCTTTAAACAGAAAAAAGATGGATAATTCCAATATTCCTTTCGTTTAAAAATAAAAAAATGTCCTGTCGTTATTAATGTCATATTAATATATACACATTATTAATAATATATTGTAAACCTAATATTAAGCAAAAAAAAAAGAAATAGGGAGTGACAAACAAATGGACACTGAAAATACTTCAGTTGAGGAGCTTAAAGAAGATGGCTATGAAATAATTAATGGTAATTATATTTATTTATTATTTATTGTTTTCTGATTTCAAAGTCAAAATTAATTATTATTTGAAATTATATGTAAAACATTATAGTAATATTAAAGAAAATTTATTAATCACTAGATGAGGTCCATTTCACCAATTCAAGTAAACAAACATTAATAAGGACATTCAAAATACCTGATGATTTCAATTTGAATCAAGTAGAAAGTTCAATGATGAGATACTACTTATCTAAGGGTTCCACAAATGGGCAAACAGAATCATTTGGCATCTATAGATATTATGGGTCGTTGCCATACATGTCAAAATCATATTTATTCACAGCGAGTAAATTTAAATTTTATATATATTTTATTATTGTAAAAAAAAAAAAAAAATTAATTTATTTATTTATAATTTGGGGCATACTGCAACAAAACCAGACAAAGTGAACATTGGTATTACCAAAGATTTCAGGGGTCAATAATGTTTGTATAACACCACAATTGTATTACCAATGTAATGTGATCATGATATTTGCTCAGACAAAATAATTAATTTACATCAGATCTACTATGGAACCCAAGAATTATAGCACCATTAGAAGTATACTAAAAAAGGAGCAAGGTGAAAAAAATGCTCCTTACATTTTCAAAATAAATGATACTCAGACACTGGAAACTTATCTAAGAAAAGAAAGAATTACTTATGAAATTTACCATGAAGAAAGAAAAATAATAAGCAATAAACGAACCTTAACATCAGCTCATGATGAACCAAGAAAGAAAAGAAGACTGGCAGAATAAACAATCAAATCATTATTAATCCTCTTCTTCATCTTCATCTAGTTCATCTTCTAATTCAGAAGGAGCATTTCATCATTGGAGAAGGGTTTTTCTTTTGAGAATAGTTCAAATAGTTCCAGTTAAGAGTAAGAGTAAGCCCAGTCCACTTAGTCAAGCCGCTAGATTATTAGTTCTTCAGAATCCTTCTTTAGGAGAAGTCGTTTGTTTTTTAGGTTCATTTTTAGAATAACTATGGTTTATTCCGCCTAATTCTTCCGCATAATATCTAATGATACCAGCTTCTGTAAATTCAGTGCCATTGCCATATTTAGTAAGATCCAAGCCTAGTTTTTGCTCATTTTTAGCCAAGGTCATTTTATCTTCCATTTCTTTTTTCTTAACACTATCGTGTTTAATGTGATAAGCCACCAAGAATCCAATTACATGTTGAGGAGGCAAAGTAAAGAAATAGTCAGACTTAGTGTATTCATCAGCCATATCAGCGGGAAATTCAGGAACTTTTTTACCTTTTAAATAATCCTTGAGTTCTGTGAAAAAAGTACTTTTATCTTCTAAGTTATTGAGAATGTTGCCAATCTCTTTAAGTTTATTAACATCAGTTTTGAAGAATTCTTTATCACCATAATTTTTTCATTCCTTAACTAAAGAATTAGGGATATCCGCATCAGTTTTGAAAACTAACCGCAAGTTTTCGGCTCTTAATCTTGATTCAGTTAAGTAATTATTAATCATCAATAACTCTGCTTCTTCTTCCGAACTAAGACCTTGGTTTTGCCTAGCTTTCTCCAAAGCAATTTTAATCACCTCAAAGTAAGTTCTAATTCCTTTTTCTTCTAAGACTCTTCCTTCGTTCTTTTCCCAATTATCTAATCTTTCTTGGAAATTGCTACCAAGTGCTTTCCAAGTTCCGTAAGTACTGAGAGTAGCATTGCGAACAGTCTCTAATTGTTCTACTTTAGTGAGATATCCTTTTTCAGTAGCCGTAAGGGGAGTTTCTAATTTGCCCTCATTTTCTA